TAAAAGTATTGTGTTTTTTTGTTAAAATATAAGTATTCATTAATAATAATAATGAGAATGAGACGAATATTTATATTTTAAAAAAATATTTTATTTCAATTTTTTAATAAAAAGGGATAAATAAAACACCACAAACAGTAACATCCATTATTGTGTGTATCCATAATGAACAGGATATTGTACAAACGGAAGGAGGACACTCACCACTGTCTGCGTATCAACAGCAAAGTAAACACTTGAATCTCTGGCCAACTCAAGCATGTTGTGTTTGTTCAGACTATAAGCAGGTTTTTTTATGGCCATATTTAGTCATTCCAGAAAGATCACAGCCAAATGGCATGGATTGAGTTGATTAGTGAGCTATGTTATAATATAACCAATGCTCTTTAAATGTTTTGTGCATTTTAAAAATATATCCTTTAAAATAATACTTAAATAATATGAAATAATATGGGAATTAAGAAGGACATATGACTGTTTAGACTTGTTATAAAGTGAATTTTTAAGCAAAATATAATGGTGAATAAAAATACTCTCATTTCTATTTAGATCTCAGATGTTCATAATATCTACCAGCACAAGTTTGTTTTTAAAAACGTCCATACTGGAAATCAATAAATATCACTAGTTTACACCATCCTTTGCTAGGATCACACACCTTAAAAACATTTTGTGTTCATAAAATATTACAAAATAGTTGTATTGACCTCTTGATCTTTAGTTTGTCTTACACTATTCCTATAAATATTCTGGTTTATAAAATATCATGCAATTGACCTTACATATGAAAACGTGTCTTGGTTGCCTGTTCTTAAGCCCAGTTCTCCTTATTCAGAATCCAGTCCATGTCAGTCACTTCAGGCAGCTATGAGTTCCCAAGCTTTCTATAAAAACGCATTTAGTTTTTTCTCGACTGTTTCAGCTCCAGGGGTCTGAGCGATGTTGTTGGTTGTAATTCTGTAGTTTAATCTGATCCTGGATTTGATTAATAAGGATCTGAGAGAGGAGGATCCCAACCAACTGAAAAAGAGAAGAGATCAAGCTGTCAGTACAAATGAAATCCAAACATAGATGCTTAAAGTAAGTCAGTTTGCGATCGGACGACATCTAAGGTCACCCACAATGATATTTAGATTGTTTTAACATATAATTTTAAGCAGACTGATTGCTTATTCCATGTCAAGAGGTACCTGTGGGATGGCCAGGCCCAGTGCGATAGCCCCCAACAGAAACAGGTTACTGTGGATCCAGTTCACCACATTATCAATGCAGCCATTGGTGTTAATGAAGGCACTAGCTGCAAGATATTCCAGCTGCTGCACCCCATGACCACACATGGTATTTATAACAGTCTGACAAAACAGAAAAAAAGGCAAAGTGGTATTAGGGGAAGGGACATTTAATATATTAGTAAATACCAGTATTATTAATGGCATTTAATATATTAATAACATGATAATTAAATATTATAATATTGAACATATTTATTTAATGATTTAATTATATTTGAATACATTTCAAATAAAATTTTGGACATATTTAAATATATGCGACCCTGGACCACAAAACCAGTCTTAAGTCGCACGGGTAGGACTTCATTTGACAACTTTAAAGGCGATTTTCTCAATATTTAGATTTTTTTGCACCCTCAGATTCCAGATTTTCTCCGCCAAATATTGTCCTATCCTAACAAACCATACATCAATGGAAAGCTTATTTTCAGAGCTTTCATGTGATGTATAAATCTCAATTTCATAAAATTGACCCTTATGACTGGTTTTGTGGTCCAGGGTCGTCGCATATTACATAATTAATCATTAAAAAAAACTGCAAACATCCTTTTTGGAGCCTTTTCTCACCTCCTCTTTGGAGAGCAGACAGCAGGAGAAGGGCACAGAACAACGCTCTCTGCTCGGGTTCTCTTTTGAACAACTGAAGTACATGTTCTGAGACCAATCCATGTAGGAGATTCCCCCACAGCAGTTAAACTGTTCATATCATAAAACGAAAACATCATTATCAACTTTTACCAACTATTATGATGTATTATTCATGTATACACAACCCTGACCTGTTTTTGTCCATAGTCGATGAGGTTCTGAAGATCTATATCATCCCTGTAATGCTTGATGGCGTTGTCAACCATTTCTGTTACTTTTCCACGTGCCTGTAGAGGATAAATTGAATTGAAAACATTAGTATATATATTAGAATTGTCATCTAATGTTAGTGCTTGTTAATCTTTGGTCATTTGTTGTTGTTAGACACATTACACTGGTAAGTGACAGACAGTAGAGGGTGCAACGTGTCAACTAAAAATCCAGAATGTTTGTGACTGTGGGTTTTGTTACAGCATGCCCAGACTGTTTAAGTAGTGTACTTATGCCTGTCTATACAAAGCCTACACAAAGACAGGAGGATTTAACAGTGCACTAAAATACGATACTGTAATCTGTAAGAATTAAAGGTAAATCAACGCAGTTTAGAATTAAACGAGCATCGGTTACTTGAGTAAATACAACTCAAGTTCACATTAACATATATCCAGGCTTGTGGCATTGGCATAAGTATACTAATGTCATTCATGATGACTTTTACCTTGTCTGAGAAGACAAAACCCAGAACACCAGCCACTAGCTGCAGCAGAAAGATGATAGTTAGGATGATGCAGAACTGCAAGGGAATTAAGAGTTTGATATTAGGGTTTCTTTTATGTTTTAAAATTTCTATGTAAAATGTATCTTGTAGTTTTATCTCCACTAAGAGCCAACTGTGTCCCTGACTAAAAATGTACCAATACTGTTACAGTATAGTATATAGCAGGCACATTTGAGATACTTTAGCGATTTAAAAACACAAATTACACAAAACTGTGCTGTAATATTATCAAAACCATCTAAAATGTCTGAAAAGCAGACAAAGAAATGGTCCTGTCCTGATGTAACAATTCTGATCAGGCAGCTGGTTTTAGTACTGACCGTCTGCAGTAAGCATATGTTTTCCCTCAGAGAACCCACACAGCCGCAGAATGTGATGAAGAACATGAGAATGCCCACTATCATCAGTAACAGAGCAGGATCCACCGTCAGACAGGCCAGCGCTGCCTCTGTAGAGTAAAACAGACTTATCAGATAGATGGACAGCTTTCGTGGCACTATGGCATTATCTATAACACTGTATATACACAATTTGATCTATAAAAGATTCACTGTATCTCGGTAACCCCTATATTAATGGACAGTGTGGATTAAATTATTAATGCCTGACTTTCTACAAAAGCCCTGGTTACTGAAAACTAGTACTTTTGCATAATGCTCCTTTACAACCACCAGGTGTCAGTATAAGTTACAGTTGACTGACATTCTGAAGTACAGGAAACCATGATAACCACAAATGAATCATGGTTTTGCTACACCAGTAGTTTAACCATGGTATTTGTAGTAAAACTGTGGTTATACAAATGGTAATCAATACGCTAAAAAAAACATGGTTACTACACTTTTACTACAATAACACCATGGTTCATTTTTGTAAGGGAAGGTTCGTTCACTTTCTGTTTCTCACACAACAAAAGGTCCCAGTTTGTCTGACACAATGTAGCCCCCTTTTACTGACACAGCTATCAGGTTACTACGAAACTCCATATAATTTTTCTCTGAGAAATCAGTGTCTGTATTCTTAGACTGAGATCCCTTTAAAGCTAGAAAAGATCCTAGTTGTTACTTGAAGGAGCTATTTATACATTTATTAAAAAATGTATTTATTAAATAATATTTACATAATAATTTGATCTGACTTTCATTCAATCCAATCCTGTTAAGCAAAAGATAGTTTTTTTTTTAATCATAATAATGTTATTGAAAACCATGCATCCTCATTTTTATTTTAGTCATCCCCAGCAGCAATCATTTAATCAAAATGTATGTTCATTATGTGCCCCCCCCCAAAAAAAAACTGTCATATTATAAGACTAAGGAAACAATCTCTATGGTACGCCGATCTAAGTTACAATTTGTACCACTAAAAGGAGCACAAATGTGCACAGATCAACACTGAAACAAGATGATTTGGACCTCTTTTTGTACAGTGCAGCAATTTCTCAGTATTATACTGCATTATAGTAAAAACCGAGTTGTTCTTGAGGCTTTGAGCATGAAATCTCCTTAGGTATTTGCATGTGCATTTTTTGCACCAGCAAGAATGCAATACACTCTAATATCTCAGTCAGCTGTCCATATAAATTGTTAGGAGCTTAATAGTAATTTTGATGCCTTTCTGCAAACAACTGAAGTATCAAAGCCTGTTTTAAATATTTTGGGTGTCTGATTCTCCCTCTGAAGAGGCGTTATTCATTTAAGGTCTATTATTCAGTAAATGCTACAGGGCAACAAATAAAGGAAGCATGGGGCCCCCACTCATCCAAACACCCTGCATCGCTCTATCAGCATATGAATCAATGAGACCCGCTGCTTAGCAACAGCCACAAGTTTAAAAAAGTTTGGGAAAGTAAACTGGCACCATCAAGAACTTCACAAAAGAGGGTTTTGTTGATGAGATCTAACTCATTATTATTCTAGAAAGATCTTATTGCACAGCAGGCCCAATTTATTGGGAAAATGCTAAATGCAGGCAGGCACTCCTGTACTGTGTGTCATGAACTGTTCTGTGTTTTTCGAGGTATTCTGAGAATCTAGCCTGAGGTGCAGTAATACACATTGGTGTTGAGACATGCCCATGGGTGATGTTTTTAGTGTTTGTTCATACTAAACTCCATTAAAGCAGGTTGGCCTTTATGAATACAGGTCAAGCTGCTTTTAATTCTCTGTTAGACTAATTTGACCATTATTCAGTCTGGACGTCAACTAAGTACATTAATTCTGTTTGTCTAAATGCAAAGCTTGCTTCGTGGTTGTGCATTAAAAAGTAGGAGTTTGAAGAGTCATTTGGTAAAACATTAATCATTAAACCACATCATGTGAGGAGGAGTTAAAAACAACTATGCAGTATTTAGTCTTTTTGTTCTTATATATAAAGAGTATATTTTGTGTGTGTGTGCATAATGTACTATAATATAGTGTACATATATATTTTTAAAGTGTTAAAAAAATTGTCTAATATTAAATATAATATGATATAATATGAGCAACACTTACCCAAAATATCATGTTGAAGAAGAAAAGTAAACATTTCACCCCTGGACTGACGAAAGTGAACTCGTCGCTTTTCGTTCTTGGCATGATCAAAGGTGTGTGATGTCTTTCACCTACAAACCTTCAGCGTTCACCTAACATTATCTATCTAGATTTTCATCCTGCAGAATCAAATCATTCGCTCGGCTATTTCTAAAACGTCTCGTCAAGTCTCTTTATGATCATTAAACACCCTCGAGCGACTAAAATCACAAGAACGCATTGATCGCTTTGAATCTGGGTTTGTGTCTTAAAAGGCATTTCCTGATTAGCAGTCAATGAACTCGGAGAAAGCCGAACACCCATCGCATGAACGCTAGAAGCACCAGTGGGCGTTTCCTTTCTTCTTTTCCACTATGCGAGTCACCTGTGAGAGCCTTTGAGTCTTTTTTAAAGGTGCGACCGAGCAAAACATACTCTATAATATTCTGTAAAGATTATTTGTTCACTGTGTATACTTGAACTAGTTATCCTCTTATTGAATTTATATGGAGGTGCTGACCCCTCCTGGAGACCCCTCACAACCCCACCTGTATTTAAAATGAAGGTTCTTTGTTGGAATTTGTGGTTCCATGAAGAACCTTTAACATCCATAAAACCTTTGCATTGCATAAAATGTACAGATTATTAAAATGCTATTCACACTAAGAACAAATGGTTCTTCTGGAGTTGAAATGGGGCAGAATAAGGTTCATGGCATGGCATCCTCTCTGTTCAATGATTGCACAATACATTGTAATATGTATTGCAATGCCATATTTCTGTGCAATAAATTCAATGGGCTTGTACAGCTAACCTATAAATAGCATTTCAAAACTCCAGGATGTGCAGTCTTCGAGTGACTGGTGTCATTTGTCACAGAGGAGCTTCAGTGCACCGCTGTTATATGTTTTCTTGTTTTATGTGCCAGAGCAACGCTATAGCTGTAAAGACAGTAGTCTAGATGCTGATTTTGGGTTTTTAAACCTTGACGTTTTCTCTACAGGTAAGATAATTTTAATATTTCTACTTTTAAAAGTGTAACGTGATTCTGACTATTTGAAGCTCTAAGCCGAAGGCCGCAAGGGTGACTACATAGGACAGTGTAATCATCCTTATTATGATGACGATTATGATGATGATGGTATACAATTTAAAATAAATGGTAAAAGTTCATCCTAAATTAGCATGGAATGACTCAAAAAGGCTTGTTTAGTCGTGACATAATTTCAGGATGTTGTGATTGTGATAGGCTATAGGACCTATTTTGATTTAAGATATCAGAAATGAGATTTTACTAAAATTCTTTCATATTAATGCTTTTCTTTCTTCCTTTTCTTTATCTTTTTGATGAAACCTGGAATCTGTCCCAGTTTGCCCAAAGTCTATTAGGTAATTTAACTCGAAATTTAAAATCGTATAGTGTGAGGTACTGCTAAGCTATTTGGAGCATTAAAAAAAATAAAAAAATAAACACCTTAAAACAATCAAAAAAATCTTTGTAATTTGTGTGTATAATATATTTAACCAGCTTCAACCAGCTAAGACTGTCTAAATACACATAATAGCTTACCTTGGAATTATTTGTTGTTGCATAGTTGTTACACAAGATGGCGCGCTTACATTGCATTTACGACCTTGCATTGTTATATCAGAGACAATTATTTATTTAGTATAAAATGCGCTTGTTTCTGATCATAATTACTTATAAAACTATAATTACGCGTTTAACAATCTCTCTATAATCTACCGGATATCGTATGAACAGTATTTATCTCGTTTATCTGATACGGTTGAGTTAGTGAAGAACTACATGTCCCATGATGCTGTTCTGGCGTAAGTAGTGACGCATGAGGTACGTCGCGCTTTTCTTATCAGCGCAGCGGATGACGCAGCTGTAGTCGGCAGTTAAAGGGCTTTCAAATGTTATACAGTAACAGGACTGTCGATGCTCACGCTCTTCTCAGCTCAGTTCACCGACCTTGGGTCATTTTCAGGACTGAGGCGGTGAGAGGTAAGATGCTTAGGCTTTTTTCTCCTCCTTTAAACTACAATAAATGCGCAAAGCCCTTTAGTTACACTATATTGTACCTGCTTAACAGGCTTGTGGAGTCGTAGGGTGGAGAAGAACGAGGACGCTCTCCAAAAATGTTTATTTCTGGTTTCCTTATGTTTTTAAAAGTGTGAGGGAACAGAGGGTGGCAGAAAGACACGTTCGATGTTGGAAGTCGCTTTGTCATTACATCATGACTGTGCTGTTGACATATGCATATGTCAGATGCTGTTTGGTTGTTCTTTTCATGTTTCCTCAAAAACATGTGTAAACAAAGACTTTAACGACGAATAGCTAAAAGCAGCGTTTACTGTGTGCTGTTATAGGCACTTTTCTAAATGCATCTTTTCAAATCCATTAAATCCAGTAACTTTAATTTTCAATGCTTTTTTCGTCGTCTTTCTTCAGGAGAATGCATTTCAGTCTGTCCCTAGCCCTGTAAATCCTACTTTTTCTGAATGTATAAGCAAAAATGCTAATTTTATTTAAATCTGCACTACATAAAAAAGCAACAACATTTTTTTTATTATTATTTCAGATTTACTTTACTAAAAGACTCAAAGTTGTGTCCCCAAGTTGTGCACCATGATATTAAGTAAATAATAGAAATAAATAAAATGGAATACTGATATAATTTATTTAGGATGTGAACATTTCAAGGACAAGTTAGTGTCTCCTGACAAACCAAACAAAACAAGATAAATTGATAAAGATCACTTCATATGTTTTGCCAACTGTAAAACTGGCAACTCTGATGCTGTCATCCCTGTTACTTAGGCATCATTGTTGTATTTTTTGCATTTAAGTTGAGATGACAAAATGCAATTTCTTAACACTTAAACCCATTGTTTGTGACCAAATGTTTTAAAAACTTTAAAAACCAACCTTTTCAAAATGGATAAGACAGCTGTTTCACGGAATGACCCTTGCATGTCATGGGTTTATCTTGTGTCGTTTGTAATGTTTATACCAGTGCTTTGTCAACATTGGCCTACACCACTGGCATCAGTCACTTCCAGTACGTTTCATTTTACTATAGTCTTGTGATTTGCAGAGGACTGTGCTAAAAATGGACTGGATCCATGGATCGGTTGTTCTTGCTCAAGCTGAACACTGTGTCCTCAGGACAGGTTGTGTGTTTTAGACACATTAAATCATAAAACCATGTAATGTAATTTTCATGCAACTTTTTTTTTGTTTCTCTGAATGGATAAAATGAACTATTATCATCATCATTATTATTATTAAAAAAGGCAAAACATATTTATCAGATTTTTGTTTTTATTATTTTATTTTATTTATTTTTTTCTGCAGGTTACTTTATAGGTTTGCAGGCTGGTTTCTTTGTGCTTGCTTTTGATGCAGCATTTAAGTATATTAAATATCCAGTATGTTATTGCATGATAGATCATCACTATACAGGCTAAAGTCGTTCATGATTATTTTGAGGGCTTGTAATTATACACCAGCAGAGTCTGACTACTGCAAGTCTCCAAATAAAACCAAGGGGGTTGTCAGTGTGACATTAAAATGTTTTGTTACCTAATAGCTGATCAACAAAACATGCTTGAATTAAATACATTTGTTTGAAGTTGATTCTTAGCCCTGTTCTTTCTTCACAGAGTGCTCTCTTTCTACCATTCATTGAAAACAGGAAGAGGAAGTAAAGCAAGTACACGAGTGCATTCACGAGGTCATCATAGCCTGACATGCCTGTGTTTCCACCGCTGCTATGGAGCACGTAACTGCTAGTGAGGAACCGTCCGCTGCACTGATGTACCACGTGGAACGTCCCATATTCAATGAAGGCTATATTGACTCAGAGCTTCTGCATAGGAAGAAGAGGACACCCAAGTCCTTTCAACGGAGAATAGCTGAGCATCTCCGGTAGGGCTATTTCAATACATTGTGCTTGCTTTGTTACTGATGATAGGTCTGTGTTTATTTCTGAGCTACAGTAGAGTCCAAAAGTCTGACACTGTATTGAGAAATATTCTGTAATGTATTATTGGTCACTAATCATACAAGCAAATATGTGACATTGATCATGCAACTCTTTGTACAGATGATAAGATCCAGTGAAGCACAAGGTGATCATTCTCAAATCATGCATGAGGGCATGATCATCAGTTTTACACTTGTGAAGTTCATGCAGTTTGAATCTTTAAAGCAAAAGTGAGGCAAACCAAACACATTCTGACATTCGTGTTCATTTTTCAGTTCAACTTTTCACTCAAATTGTTATTCTGAGGATTTTAGTAGTAATGAAAAATTGTTTAAAAAAAAAAATCTAAATACAAGCATTAGTGGTATCAGATTTTTGGACCCCACTAAATATATAAATGTTTTCAATTGTCTTATTTCACATTATTGTGACTTTCTTGGCTGTATTTTTGAACTATAACAATTTTATCAGGTTCAAGTGTTATCTGAACTTTAGAAAATCAGCTTGGACTGATAAAACAACTGTTTTTCATTTATGACAGTCTTATTATTTTATCATATCCTCCATATAATATTGCAGGACTACTAGTATTACACAACAGTTGTGACATTACTTTTGTTAAACCTGCTTGTCCCAATCTGAGCTGGATAAATTGATGACTCAGTTTCCTAACGGACAAAGGCGGACTATAATTTAAGTCGTCATTAACTGATAATCTTCTCCTCCACTCTTACTGTTTGCAGAATTTTTATATGCACAATAAAATCATATGACATATTTATACTAATAGTCATCTCTCTCTTATTTTTCAGCTGTTCTTCTGAGAAAGCCAAATCTGTTGTATTTGGTTTCCTGCCCATTTTAACATGGCTGCCATCATATCCACTAAAGGAATACTTGTTTGGAGACATAGTTTCTGGCATCAGCACAGGTGTAATGCAGCTACCTCAAGGTCAGATGTTATTGAAAACTGGTTAATATTAAAAATGAATAATTATATTAAAATCTTATTAAATGTATCTATTTAGTAGTAGCAGTAATTTTATTTATTTTAATAGTAATAATAAGAATTAATATAAATATAGTAAATAATATTAACTATATATTGTTGTTTATTTATTAATTTATTTTACTCATTTACTCGTTTTATTTGAATTTATTTTATGTCATTGATCAATGGGCATATTCATTTTATCATTTCTCTATCTTTTGATTTGTTACATTCAACAGGTCTTGCATATGCGATGTTGGCAGCTGTTCCTCCAGTGTTTGGTTTATATTCATCGTTTTATCCCGTACTATTATACACATTCCTTGGTACCTCCAAACATATATCAATAGGTGAGACTAAATGGCGTGCATGCCAAGCTTTTAATAACATGCTTGTGACTTAAAATATTGTTTCAGCCTCAGATGGGACCACCCACGGTTGGTTCGTTGACCGTCTGGTGAATATTGCTCACATAAATTGAAAGTTCTTCCTTGGTCTGGGAAGTTGTAATCTGATTGGTTGACACTTCACAATGACTTCATGCAGTGGGCCTTTGTGGAGACTGCCATGCACTGTTTTTTTTACACCTGTCTTTTTTTTTTTTCTTTTTCTAGACAAACCCTACGCTTTACATTAAATTAAACTGCGGTTGGTTGCTTCACATACTGGTCACATGGGTTCAGATTAAGCTGCAATGTGTTTTTTTTTGTTTTGTCCAAATGTCTGAGTGCGTGCGTGCGGCTAACTGAAATGTGACATTCCTCTGTACAGTTTTGCTAAGTCAGTGTTAATAAGCAAAGCATTACTACCAGACTAAACAAGTGTAGTCCAATTAGATGAGATCTAAAATCCTTAGTCCGTTTTTCCCAGCACTTCCTGAACTCCTGTGGCAAAGTCTCATCAGGAAGTCAGTTTTTCATTGTTCCTGCCAATTGTACAGGTCGACAGCTCTAAAGCTGCTCTGATTGCAATGTCCTGACTTTCGTAAGCAGGAAATGAAAGTGGCGTTTCTGAGAACCTTATTAGTGTTGGTGCAGACATCATCACACTGTTTTATGGGTGGGTAGATGCCCTGCAGTGTTGTTTTTCTCCTGTTTAATGTGGGAATCTTCAAACCCTCAGAAATCCCTGCAGGATATTAGAAACACCACCAAGAACAGATCAAAGGTTCAAAAGTCAAAAAGGTTACCCAAACCAGAGTTGTTGCTTCAACATCTTGTTTTCTCGGCTCCTGTGGCTACACTTGAGAGCAAGAGAATTGGCATTAGTTCAAACATTTGACAAGGTCCTGCTGCAAAGAAGCATGTTGCCTCCTGTTTAAACAACACTCACGCTCTGTCCCTCTATGGACAATGTAAAACAGACCCAGTTGCAGAGGGCTTTATCTAGATGAAGGTCCAAGGCAGAGCTTACTTTCATTAATGCACTGAGACATACTTGCTCACATGATAAAGGAGCTCCTTTTCCTGTGACAACACTGAACCACTGAGCAATGTATACCAAAGAGCGATTACACCACCTGTTACTCTTACACAATGACATTGTAAGGCTTAAGACACAATTTAAATAGTATAAATCCCATTGCATTAAATATATAAGATCATATAAAAAATATAATAGTAATAATATAGATTTAATCTACAACACTGTTTTTCTATGGCTAAAAATGGCCTTTTTCATCACTGATTTAGGTGGTAACAGGCTTGCTAAATAGTACGTTGTATCTATTTTATGCATGCACTTAAAGGCCTTAAAGTGCTTAAGTAATTGCTGCTGTAAAAGTGATCATGCAATAATAATAGATGTAAATACAGATTATAATGTTTTAAGCTGCAAAAAATACTGTTCCTAATATTATCTGATATTATTAGCTATAAATGCAGATATTATTTTAAGTTGCATGTATTATAATAGCCCAATCACACCTTTTAAACATAGCATTTCACAAAAAGGTTGTGAGGTTTTAAATGATGAAACAGTAGTTATTGTTAAAAAATAGACAGTATTTGCATATATAATGTCTGGTAAGACAGCTTATAACATAGTAAATAATTACAAAAGTAATTTGTGATCCATACTTAACTTTAGCACAGTTTCCTGAAGTTTTATTGTATTTTTTGATTGTATTTTTATTCAGGTACTTTCGCAGTAATCAGTTTGATGATTGGCGGCATTGCTGTGAGGGAGGCCCCGGACTCCATGTTTGCAGTCAACGGGACCAACGCGTCACAGGTTGTGGATTTTGAGGCTCGTGATGCCAGAAGAGTGGAGGTGGTTGTAGCTCTGACAACCCTAGTAGGAATCATTCAGGTGGGCTGCTATCTGGTTTTACCTGCAGTTTTAAAAATCAAAATGAGTGTAGAATTTAGTCATGATCTTTCTTAATTTTATTAAGGGTGACGTGTATAATGTCTGATATCAAAGAAAGAACTAGTTCATTATTTATCTCTCTTGATGTGCTCAATTCATCTTTATTTGTCATTGTTTGAACCTTACTGTAGTTGATCAAGACCAGTGCATCCTCCAGTATCTGTGCTTGGAATACAAGTAAATTCCTGAAACATAGGCTGTAAACTGTAAAAACTGTAAACCTGCTCAGGCTGATGACTTCATGTGATTCTCCTAAAGTTACTGTAGCCCGAGGTACTCTCAGATTGATGTTTGGGAGCATAATTGTTCTGATCTCCCATAGTTTGTTCTGGGTCTGCTGAGATTTGGCTTCCTGGCGATTTACCTCACTGAGCCGCTGGTGCGAGGTTTCACCACAGCTGCCGCTGTGCACGTCTCTGTGTCGCAGATCAAGTACCTGCTGGGAGTGCATACTGCGCGCTTCAACGGGCCTCTCTCTGTAGTGCATGTGAGTAACCTTTGACACTGGGGAAACCTTAGGGTGCTTTTTGTTGATATGTGCCACTTTTGCACCTATAAACATGCTTCACATTACTTCATAAACACTTATTCACATATTCTCATTGGTGTTTAAGGTATTAATTGAATCATGAATGAATAAAGGTCTTTTCAAGGCCAGTTGTTGTTAAGAGTAGCTTCCTTAATTGAAATAAAGCTGAAATAAAATGTAAATATTAGATGAATAATTAAAATGGACTAAATAACTGAAATAAAATGTTAACGTGCTAAAATTGCTGAAATTAAAACAGAAAAATAGACCTATAAAAAATTATTAAAAAAACATCACTAAAATAAACAAAAATTTAAATAACCCTGAAAAGTCACATTAATGTAAAATATGAATTTGACTATAAAAATGTATATTAATAATAATAAATTCCTGTAATAGTATATAAATAGTACTAAAATAACTGATAATGTTTTTTTGTGGTTGTATAGCTTTGTTCTATTCATTTTGTTTTCCCCCAGAGTCTTGATGCTGTCTTCAGGAACATTGCAAGCACTAATGTTGTCACGCTAATTATTGGACTGGTGTGTATGGTGTTCCTGTACTTCATCAAAGATCTCAATGAACGCTTCAAAAAGAAGCTACCTATCCCCATCCCTGGAGAAATCATAGTGGTAAATCTTTAAACGCCCTTCCTAAGAAACATATTGCTCACACATGTACTCAAAATCCCTTTGTGTGAATGTGTGATTTTCTTGTTCTTTGAAGGTAATTGTGTCCACTGGAATCTCGTATGGGATGGTTATGTCTGAAAACTATGGAGTAGAAGTTGTGGGTAAAATTCCCACAGGGTAAGAACATGCAGGCTTACTTATATATACCAAACTGAAATGGTTTACATTTTTACAAATGTTTACATTATAATATTTCTTTCTTAATGTTTTGTTTTAAGGTTGCTGCCACCCAAGATTCCAGACTTCTCGGTCTTTCCTAACCTCTTCCCAGATGCCTTCGCTATAGCTGTTGTTGGCTTCTCGATTGCAATATCATTAGCCAAAACCTTTGCTCTTAAGCATGGCTACAGTGTGGATGGAAATCAGGTAGAGAATAAAATAAAATGTCTGTAAATGTCATATAAATTGTGTTATACTGCGTTATTTGATGAAAGATAAAACAAGCATATTTTTCAAGCAAACAATTCACAAAAAGTAGTTTGTTAGGTTCGAAGTGATAAAACAATAGATGTAACACTGTATCTAATTAAGCTGTCCCATTCTTCATTGTCAAAGTAATTTGACTCTGTTTCTTAGAGGCAGGGACTTGGATTTTATTCAGCTGCCCTTTATTTTGGTTTCTATTGCTTTAAGTTGCAGCTGAATTTCCAAATCATTGCAGCTGAATGTCCAGACTCTACAGTTACTTAGTTACTTGCCATTTAGTAGATCCTTTTGTCCAAAGTGACTTATAGTACACTAATTGCAGGGAAAGTTCATATGGGGCAACATTTTGCAAAGTGGCAAGCTTAAGTGAACAACAGTAAAAGAGATGGATTGTGACCTCAGTAGCTCACAAGTTTGCCTGTTTAGGACGAATTTTTGTGTGAGGAGCCAAGATCCTCAACGTAATGAGCACAACCGACAGTAACTAGGAACTTTCGTTTTTATATAGAAAATTAGAGCTATGTTCGGAATAGC